GTCCTATGCTGAGAAAAAAATACTCAATTTCCAGTCCCATCACAATTACAGGCTAAAGATTGGAATAATGAGGAGCATGATAATCCGAAGCCTACGCCTAACGAATCTAAAATTCTGGGACGAGGAGCTGGACAAATTGACGATGATATTGCTCGGCCATGGCTACCCAATCGAAGCGAAACAAAGAAACATACGGGCCATTAAAAGCCGATGGCAGAACGGGGACTATGAAAGAACAGTAAGGACGATGAAGGATTCACAAAAGTGGATAAGCCTACCTTCATGCAAACTAACTCAAAACCCACGGCCAATATTGAGTAGATGTAATATTTAGGTGGCCATGAAAGAGAAGTCAACATTTCACAAGTCTACCAACGCAACATGAAGGGGTAGACAAATTGGATTGTTCAGGAGTTTAATGTATATCATGCGGCGCCTGCGAACATAAATATATTGGCGAAACAGAGTGAAAAATTAGCGCACGAATCAAGGAACATCAGCGGCTCTGCAGAAAAATGGATACCCAAAGGTGAGAACTAGCCGAACACATTGCACAGACTGGACACGAAAAGGCAGCAAAAAGAAGAGCCCCATACGGTGACAACACAAGAAAGCGGAATAATAAGGAGGCCATTTACATCCTTGGGGATAAAAATCTAATTCGTTGGTCGATCTCACCAGATGAGAACGGATAAATCTCGTTGTACTGCAGCCGTTTGGCTTTTATACGATATTCATTTTGACGCAGTCTACAAGACTTCCTCCCTTTCGTCCATAATATAATGGACATCATCAGAGCTTGGTTTCATTCTTGTAAAAGTCTCACGTTAACACTAGTCCAAGAACCCTATCTGGCTCTAACTAACTTCTTATATAGACTCAATTGAGCCTAATGAAAATTAAAAACCTAGATAGATAGTTTAATTAATTTTCTTTCATACTAGTCTGTTATTTTTGCTCGATTGTATGAGTATGTGTATTTGTGCGTGTTAGCGTCTATATTCAATACGGTTCCTAAATCAGAGTTTTCAAAGTTGTAATCTAGAGTTCTGATCCTTAAGACCTAATGACCCAAGAGAAAGCCTTGACTGAGACTGCGTAGGTCCGTAAACAAATATGGTTGAGATAATGAGATATGAGCTTGTAAACATGAAAATAAAGTTACGAAACCATTTGACCTAACCTTTGAGTCTAGGGTCATTAACGTTTAACCCTCCAAGACTGTGGTTGCCTAATCTGATATGTCTGGTTTGGTTGATGAACTTATTCTAACATTTTGGACCAATGTGAGTGAAATTAGAACTAATATATTCAAGTTGCGAAAACAAGGTCAAACAACTTCTTAATATTTTTGTTCACTCAATCCTATTTTATACCTGTATTATATTTGTCTTAGTCAAGCTCTCGATTTATGTCCATTTTTAGACTTGGCTCTCATGCGGTAGCCCCAAAAACCCACTTATAAACGAAATCTATTTTCCAAATCCATACTGTTTGATCAATAGTATATGCGAGCCAACTCTAATAGCATGTACCAAATAAAGTGTTCCATATTACTTGCCTCATTATTTGTAGATAATATTGACATTTAAATACATTATTTTTTCTCATTTCCTCTCCGATATCTCCATCCTCATCGCTCTGCCATAGTCGTTCTCTATGCTCCAGGTTGGCTTAGGGACTTCGCATGTTAGATTAACAAAGTTCATGGTTCCAACGTGATTCCTCTTACTCAGCATGACTCCACGAGTCACAGCATAGGGCTCACTACGATAGCCAGTTCTCAAGCAGACTGCCACCTCACAATAGGCCCGGCGGAAATTGGCATTCAGCCGAAGACAGCAAGCGAATCTAAAAATATTGTCCGCTAGGTAGACAGCTGTCCTCAAGCTGAGTAAATCCATACTCTTCTCGTTTTCTACTTCCAGATTGTTGACTTCATTTTGACCTGCCTTCGTATATTCTATAGCCATGTAGATTTGGAGAGTATGAGCACAGGCCAACCCGAATCCGTCCACTACTGCCAGGCTTAAATGGATAAGAAATCCTTTGATTTTCCTTCGTGAGACCATATTAACTGTTCTTTGCAAGCGCAGTCTTGGACATAATGTCTGACCACATGATTCGCCCTTCAAATTCCAGATAAATCTGCTCGTGCAGACTAAACTGGCAATAGCAATCACCGCCGGCACCAGAAGAGTGAGCAGGCTCTCAAGGGCTAGGTAAGTATCCAAAGCATTGCCATGGACCCCAACCAGCTGACAAATGGACCATGCGCTGGTAGGTCTCACCATGGCTGTTTCGTTACTATTAGATAGCGGTTGGAGTCTTTTTTGTATAATAGAATAGAAAAAAGCCATCGGTCCGGCAAGTAGACTGCCAGCAAGAATAATTGCAACAAGAAGAGTGGGCTGAGCACATTGAGCGCCTGGCCGCAATGGCGTTACCACAGTCTGGTAACCGTCGAATGTCATGCATGCCACAGCTATTCCATTTATTGCAAGACTAACTTCTAGCATCAGGCCTGACAGCCAGCAGGTAACATTAACTGATGAGGTGGCCACCGAACCAACCAGTCTAACTGGCTGGCTTAGGCTGGCTAAGCAACCACAAGCTGCAAGTAATAAAATATAGGCATCAGTGGTGGACGGCTGTCGACGGCTACGTGCAAGCACCAAGCAAGTCAGGCTATTGACTGGCAGCACAAAGCCAGCAAGAAGGAGAGACAGGCCAGCCAGCGGAAAGTTGAAAGTTGCTAACTGTTCTGAATGGCTTGACTCCAACCCATTCGGCACCATTTCTTCTTTGGATGAGATTAAGTTAGCTGAAGTGGTGAAATGGGTTAATCTAAATAAGAACATTTAATAAATTCATTTGCGGCACTTTTAGAATAGGACTAATACCTGCAAACCGACAAAACTTTTAACTTAGTCGAAGGAATTGACATAATTTATGATGAGATGACCAGTCTATGGGATGTTTTCGGTCCAATAGCACGTTTATAGTCCTAGAGCTCTCTGTTTCTTTCTTCAGAAATTTGGATAAGATTCATCCAATCACGTGTTCTTTGTTTTTATATGCTTGTCCCTTGAGAAAAAAACTTGAAATCAAGGCCTTTTTGTACAAAAGGTTCTGGACGCTGCTTGAGTTACCGGTGCCAGAAATTATATAAGCTAACCGCATTTTATTCTAACTTTAGTAACTGTTTAAAACTTTCCTTTAGTAATGATAGTTGATTTCCATATAATTTATTATAAATTA